ATTGTGCATGATAATCAAGTGCATGTATTGGAAATGCGAAGATGAAATCATTGAAAAAAAAATCGTTGTTTAAATCCGATGGTCGAGAAAATTTGCTTCATCGCTCGAAGATGTTATCCACTCCCAATCGGATTTAGTTAATTTGTTCTACGTTTGAAAGATTCTTTGATGTAGTATACGAATTTATGAAGTACCATCATAATTACACTTGAAGTGATCTTGGTTGTTGTAATCATTCTTTTCTTTATTAGTTCAAATTGCACAACGTAAAAGACAGGTATACAGCTCTCACTTCAGAGACAGTAAACACAAAAGTTTAAAAATGTGGCTGTCATGTCTCCCGGAACTTTGAGTTTTTTGATTTCATTATCAGATTTTACTTTTTCTCCCGCATCTGATCTCTATAATTATCTGATTTTTTTCTCCCGATTCAGATCTTTCTCAAACATCTCTTGTAACACTCTTAATAAACTAGCCCCTTTCCTCTTTTTCCTCCTTTTATAATCATGGTAGCCTCAAACATCACCGAGATTAAGAATATTGTGTTTATTGGTGCTTCTAGTGCAGGTAAAGAAAAAGTGTAAATTATCTTTTGATATGTAGTAATCAATGAAGCAATCGACAGCCATGGGTCCTAGTCTTTCCTGGCTAGAAGACCATGTTGAGGGTTATAGGCTTGTTTTAATTGAAGAAAAAACACATTACAACCACGTCTTTGCTTTCCCTCGCGCATCAGTTCTTTCTGGATTCGAGGATGAGCTGTTTATTCCCTATGATAACCTGTTTAATGGAGATGATACTATTGGCAGAGTTATTAACGCTAGAGCTACTGCTATTCACAAAGACTATATCGAGCTTGACCGTGAAGTTCCGGGTTTCGGTAAAAAGGTGGAGTATGATTACTTAGTCTATACGGCTGGTACAAAAATCCCCGCACCTGGCCGCTTTAATGATATCGTCACAAAAGAAGCCGGTATTGATGCCTTGAAACGTTATCAAAAGTTGATTCAAGAAAGTGAAAAGCCTGTGATTATTGGCGCTGGCGCAGTAGGCTTAGGTATAAAAAAA